GAATTAAAGCGAAGCCTCAAAATGCTTATCTTGATCTCATTGTGCCTTTCAACTTTATGGCTTTCATTTTCCAATGCTCAAGCGATCTACAAGAATGCCACGACGACCAAGTGAGCTAGGAGTTTTTTAAGAAATCCAAAATCTTTTCAGATTTGTTCCAAAAGCCAATTATAGCTATGGTTACAACGAAAACTACGCCACCACCGTAAGGCTGTTAATGTAAAATATCTATATTTTAACTCAAACAATCGGTACGCCTTTCTGGTGCTTTCGCCTTCCAATTTTTATTTTAACACCCACTCTTTCGAGTGAGTGCAACAGAAAGGATGTTTTTCCATTTTTAAGCAACAATTTCAAAGTTTTTTGTAAAATAGATAATTCACCGTAACACTTCCATCTTTAGCCCACCAACTCCAAAAGCCTATTACTTTGATTCCCGTGCGAATCCACACATAATCAGCTACAATTTGACGATCATGAAGGGCGACTCGTGCACGATTCGAGAAGGGGTCATTATGAGATTCAAGAACAATACGGGAATCATTGTCTATGGTATTTTGAAAAATATTGACTAATTTTATGTGAGAATGTCACAAATCCGTAGGTTCTCTGAATATCACAGGAGATCCGGACGATCCAGTGATTCTTGAAGCCGATGATGAAACGTGGCACGGGTTGCTCATTTTTGCACACGGTTTGTGCAAAGTTGGACTAGCTTTAATACTGAAAAATATTTGTACTGAATATCCCAGAGGTTACTTTACAATGCCACTATGTTTAGGGATGATCTAAAGCCAATTTTAAGGGGGTTATCTGGCTTATAGTTAGCCTACTGCTAGCCAGTCCTGGCCCTGGTTAAAACTTTCCCAGATCAGTCAAAACCGACTTATAGACTTATAGACCGACTGCTTCCTATTTTTCTTACAAACAATTCTTTAGATTTGGTCTCCTTGAGAAATGTGGAGATTAAACAATCGTCGTATGGTGTAACCGGTTAGCCAAAATGAGCTGGGTTTTGAAAATTCTTAGCTTTCAGTTCGCAATTCCACCAAAATCCCACTTTTCGATGGAGTTTATGCGACAAAGAATAGCAATGGCTTTAGTTTTGAGGAGGTTTGATATGGGTTTAAAATTTTAAAAGTTCAACCGAACGTTTAGCTGTTCACATTTGGCGCTCCACCGTATGTGATCAAAAATTGTCATGCTTCCGAGTCAAAGATTTCTGGTTTTCGGATTCAAAACACGGTTTGTCCATTTACTCGAAAAACAATGGAAAAACAATGGCTGACTACAGTTTGCCGATTTCATTTTTGAGAATTGCTCCTCAAATCTAAATGAAGGGGCCGGCTTTACGATATACAATGCTGTCAATAAAATTGGTAAGTGTTTCATATTTGAATTTTGAAATTGAACAAAACATTATCCCAATCAATTAATTGAATAAAACCAATTTTAGCCCTAAAATCTACAACAATTGCGTCAAATTACGGTCATGGGATCTTGTACACGAAAGATGTCGGTGCTTTTGGTTTTTCTAATGGGAGTTCGGTGTTGACGATTGTGGATTCGGAGATCACAAAGAATCTTTATGGAATAATCATTTCGAAAGTTTTGCAAGGTGGGCGGATTCTTGAAGGATCGAACTGCTTCAAAACCTTCAAACGGTGTTATAAGGAGTTCTGACAGTGTCATTGCACATGCCAATGACATTGCACATTGCACAAAAGTGTGTTCTCTGATGAAAAATTGTGTGTGACGTGTCAATCAACTCAGAACAATGCTCAATCTAAACCTTTTGATACCACTATGATGGAATTTGGTTGAATTTGAAGAGAGCTATTGCATTTTGTAGCTTAGCCTGCAACTGTCATGAGTGGTGGTGATATCCTCCTGGTTTCTTGACCTCTACGGCTGGCTGGAAGATTCTTGGACTTAGGCCATTCGTTTCAAATCGTATTCTCAAGCTTTTGATTAAGCCGTTTCAATCAAATAAATTTATTCTAGAAAACAAAACCTTTTATATCATAGATCAATCACATCATAAATCTGTCGACCGTCTGACAGTGAGAATCATTTCAACAACTTTTTCCAATCACATCATGCCGGCTGGTAAGTTTTTGTAGGTTTTTTTGTAGGACAAAATACGGAAACAGTTACTGTTTTTTGACACTAACTTTGTGCATAAAAGTAAACTACTTTAAAGTATCAGCCATTTAGTGTCCTTTGATAAATGTTTCCCGTGTTTTCTCAAAATAACTACTTCGACGTTCCGAGAAAACACAGGTACAACAATTCATTTAATTTTATCCCGTATTCCAATTCTAGCAGGGATTCTCATTTCCAAGGACAACTCTGGGATTGGTTTGGACATACAGAACTCGTTTTTTGTCTCGAATCAAGGTATCTATTTTAAAGAGAATGAAACATTTTCTGAATACCTAGGTGTTTATATAACCATCTTCAATCCGGAGCAAGAGTTTTCATTGAAAATAATACTTTTGCGAACAATACGGAGTTTAACGCGGCGCCCAAGAGTTCGCTCATCGATTTGATTTACACGGATTCTTCTGGTCAGTTTTATCTGCAAAGACCTGAGATCTATAAAATATTTGATTTAATTTGAAATTCTATTGAGAGTTTCAGCAGTGCGAAATTTCGCAATCACTGACAACATTTTCAACGGCAACACCGCAAAATATATTGCACGAGTTTTCGAAAAAGACGAAGAGATGAGTGTTTCCGTTTCACGAAAACGACACGAAATTGCCAAGAATCATTTCAACAACAATACCGGCTGGAGTCTGATATTTGCATCGGTTGCACTCACAGATATCTTTGGGAACACTTTTCAGAGCAAGGAAATGGTAGTTGATTATTTTGATGAAAGTTGGAGATTTTTAGAAATGTGACATTACGACGAATGAACCGAGGAAACCGAATTGGCTTGATTTGCAAAAGAATGAGTTTATCGCGTTTCCGGATAACCTTGTGAGTTATTTTCAATCCTTCTTAAAATAGATCTTTTAAAAGTTCAATATCCGTTTTCTAGAAATATTTTTCATGTTTGTGCTACGAGCTTCGAGGGAACAATCACTTATCCATGGGAGGGACACTTTAGGGATATCACAGTGACAAGTGGGTGCAAGTGAATCATTTAATCATTAGCCGTTCCTCTCAAATAACTCGTTTTCTGAAACGTTGCAACTTTTGAAAGCTACTGCAATTCTTATTCAAATTTGCTCGGACTGATTTTGTGAGGGCTCACAGATCGAAAGATATAAAAAGTAAACGATTGAATAAATTAGTAGCAATATTACGGTAGCATTTGAAAATTGACCACATTTTACTCAAAAGGCTATTTGAGACTATTCAATTTTGACACCTAGTTTGAAACTTTCAGCTACAACAATTTTCACTCCCCTCCGCCTCCTCCAGTTCCGCCAGTCATTCCAGCACCCCCACCGCCTCCTCCGCCAGCTGCTTGAGCACTAAATATATTATTAAGTAGCTAAACCAATCAAATTTTTGAAAAGATTATTATTTTGCTGTTTATTTTGAGGCTATAAACCTTTCAAAGAATTGCCAATGAGCATGAAACTCCGCAAATCTTTTTATTTCGATAATTTTTGAGTCGACGGGTGGCTTCAGTTTAACCTTTTCACCCCATCACACATCTCAATGCTTTTACGAATTATCCAAAAAGTTGAGAAATCTAAACTATAAAAATTTGTATTGAGTTTTTTTGTCATTAAACCTTCTCTTTTTGCATCGTCCAAATTGCCCTCGAAAAAAATAATGAGTATGTTCAAATCGACTATTGACTCAAATCGATTCAAAATCACTGTTACTTCTATGGTCCACCAACCAGAAAAGCCTGCCTAACTCATAAGTGTACTCACTTGTTCAACTCTTCTTGCAGATATACCTTCATTCCTTACCGTTGCTTTGCGATAAGGAACTCTTGCGGAAATGCTTCCAAGTTATCGACTCGGTTATTTTCCCGTCCTATCTATCCGTTATCTTGTTTCAGGCTCAAAATTTCATTTTTCCAAAACTGCACCTCAATCAACAATACTGGCTACGGTTTCGATATACAGGATTCGTCGCTAAATATCGATATCTAACCTGTTGAAAATCAGAATCGGAAATTCCAGAGACTCAGAACACGTATATAGCCTAAAATGAGCAAAGCGCGGTTTTTCTCGCAATGAAGATTAGAGTTGTCAGCATCCCAACTAGATTAGGTTTGATAAGCGCAAATAAACTTTGATATAGATGAACCTAACAAACTAGCGGAAAATCCCCAGAAAATGATCCCAATGTTGGAGCTGTTATTGAGCCCGTGAACGATTCATCTCAGGCCGTGAACGATTCATCGTTAGCTTCTAATGAGATTGCGCCAGGGTTTTTTTTCACGAACTGATAAACTTTTAAAATTTCATTTTCAGACCCCTCAAGTAACTGAGCAAGTAGTCCAGCCGGTTGGGCAAACAGCTGAAAGTCCACCTAATCAAAATAGTAAAGGGCCAAGAAGAGATGATTTTTAAGGATACTGCAAGGGTTCAGTGTCTCACTGCAGTAGTTCGTAACGATAATATGAAGAGATAAAGAATTGAAGTGTATACGTCTTAAGCCAGAACGTTTTTAAAAAGCCAGACTTTACAATATTTGTTAGGAAAATATAAAGAAGGGGTGCAGGTTTTTTATCCATCACGCTTTTTACTCAAATCGTTTCAGCTCAAGAAATCGCTCAATCTCAACTAATTCAAGCAAATGATCAGGGAACAGCCTCCGAACAAACGAATCAAATACAACATGGAATCATTGGTTGGCCGTTTGAAAAGTTCACAAGAGTTTCCACGTTCAAATTCACAAGATCACTTCGGGAATTTTAAAACAAGAGCCATTAAAGGATGGACATGTAAATCTATTACAAGACATCAAAATCAGTGAAATTGATCAAATAAAAGTGCAAAAAAATGGAGTTTTTTTCTAGAGAACACCCAGCTAGCATCAACTGTAGCTGATTTTCCATTCTAGGTCTTCATCAGGATTTGGCTAATTGAATGCAAAATGACGATTTTACGGTAGTTTCTAATTTGCAGGCAACTAGTATCAGGAAAACGCGAGGAAAATTACACTCATTTCATTAATGTCTCATTACAAACTGAGTCTTCCTTTTGCCAAAGTTTTAACTAAAGACGACTGTTGTTTTTGATGCATTAAGATCGTTCAACTCGTTGCTAAAGGTAGTTTGTTGATTCAAGCTTTTTTATTCGTATTTAGACTGGCCCAAAGAACCCACATCCAAGCTTCACTGTTTGTCGGCTTTTTAAAGAAATGTTTATTGTTACTTTTGTCTGTTTTATGTCGTTGTTTTACTGCTAAATGTTCCCGAATAAACGGTTAGGTTGTTATTCATGGTATAAAGAAGCAAAAGTACAATTAGAAGTTCTTTTTTGGCACCGGAAACAAAAGAAATTAGTCTATTAAACATGGAAAAATAAATTTTGAATTTTTGGTTTTGTATTGATTTGCAAAAAGCCAAAAAAATAACAGTGAAAAGGTGTGCTTTTGGGTCGGGTGGGCAAATAAAAGATCGCTTTTGTCCCGCCCCCGATTTCCTCACCAAACTTTCTTTGAAACATGAATCTGTAGTCGATGGGAATTTGGATCCTGTTTTGAATCCTCCTCGAGTTTTAAACTTACCGAATCTCCAAACTTTCTTCAACACTTCATTTCGTAGTCATTGTTGCTATAAATGGCGTATCTGTAATTGAATACAGGTCATACTCGTGGATCACCGATTCATAGCGAATGACGGCAAAAAGACGAAGAATGAAGATAATGGTGGCGGCGAGCGCGAGCGCGAGAAGCGGATTACCGACTTCCTAAAAAGTTACCGACTTCAAATATCAAGTTCGCGTCTGCCTACTTTACGACTTCAAACCTGGGCAAAACAGCCGCGGAATCCCCATCGAGATTGGTCAAAGCATTTGGGAATGATTTATTGTCCGAAAGCCGATGCCGAGCCTGGTTCCAACGCTTTCGGAATGGGATGAAAGTCTCGAGGATGATGAACACTCTCGTCGACCTCAAGCGGTGGACAACGATATTTTGAGGACTGCAATCGAATCGGATCCATGTCAAACGACGCGTGAACTTGCTCAACAGTTTATATGTTCAAATTCTACTATTGATGAGCATCTCCACGCCATTGGAAAGAAGATCAGATGCGGGGAAATGGCTTTTCTCACGAGTTAAGGCAGTGCAAAAAGGCTTCACGGGTCGCTATTGCGCGGAATTCTCCATCCCGCCACGCTAAAGATCATGGCTTTTTGATTTCTCTCATTACCTGGAGATGAGAAGTGGATCTGTTTCGAGAAAATACTATTCGAAAGCGGCAGTAGCTACAGGACCAGGAGAATGGCCAAATTCGACAAAAAGTGAATAACCGGACATTCATGGGAAAAGGTCATGCTACCTCGAGTATGGTCGGAATAACAAGGTCAAGGTATATTTCGGGCTTCTAGAACCAGGTGAAGCGTAAGTCCACATCACGGCCTCTACCAGCAGCAGCTTGATCGGATCAGTGGAAGCTCTCATTCGTCAAGGAGTAGACACATCTAAATAAAGTTCATCCATGACAACGCTAGACCTCACGTTGCAAAAATCACCCAGCAAAAAATGGAGAATCTAGGATGGGAGGTTTTACCGTATGCTCCCGATTTGGCTCCCTCAGATTACCATTGATTGCGGTCGATGCAAAACATTTTGGTTAATGAGAAATTCAAAACCCGTGAAGATAATATCAAAAATTGGGTCGCCAAGTTTTCAGGTCTGAGCCGGCTGAGTTTTTCAAGAGCGGCATCAATTCTTTGCGCAAAAGATGGCAAGGGGTAAATCAATAATAATGGTGAATATATTTTGGATTAAACTTCGTCGTTTCTGTTTTTAAGCTAAATTTTGTCAACGACCAAAACGCTCGTTTATATCCGAACAACCTAATAAAGATAAAATGATTGTTTAAGATTGGTTAAACATGGCAAAATACAATTGGGTATAGTTGCATAGCGTTGGCCACGTGGCACAATTCCACATTTTGCATTTTGCGCTTATCTCTCTTCCGTCTTATACAGCGAAAGTTTTTGACACGCATTATTATTTTCGTTCTTCTTGTTATTCGGTCAATTTCTTCAATTTTTACTTTTTAGATATCCCTACGAGCCGCGATGTCTTTACTTGTGAAATTCGAATCAAAGTCGGCTAGGGTGAAAGGTATGTTTGGTATTTTGCTAACTTTTGATCAGTTTTGCTTTTGCTAAAACCATTCACTCGTAGATTAGGTTAAGAATGTTTATAAACGGCTACATTCAATGGGCTATTGATTTTCAAAAGTTTGAAAACAGTTTTTTTGCTATACGCTTTTAATTTAGGAATCTCGTTTCATCCGACTCGGCCATGAGTGCTCGCTTCGCTGCACAGTGGAATCATTCAACTATGGAACGCTATCAAGTGATACCGAGTAAGTGCTGCTCGACAAATATGATGAACACGATGGACCCGTTCGAGGGATTTGCTCCCACGCGGATCAACCAATCTTCGTTTCTGGTGGTCATGACTACGAGAAATCAAAGAGTACATTTAATAGGTTGTCCCGCGCAAAATTGCCGTTTTTCAAAATTGCCGATGTTTCAACCACTTTCTTCCGGTTTTGAGCCAACGCCATACTGTCATCCTTCAGCAATAGCTTTGGCTGCAAAATCCAGTCGTTCCTTCGAGTTTTGCTGAAGTTGGCGCCTCAACGTCTGTCGATTCACTTTTCTGGACGACGCTTCCTCGCTCGTGTGGCGGCCGGTTGTCTTCACCTTTTCGGAACTACCAAACTACCAGCGTGTGATCTTTCCGCTTGACGATTGTTGGCCATAAAGAATTGATTTCTCTCTCGCTGCTTTGGCGGCGGAAATCTCCTCAAATATCGTTGATGGATTATTGATGGATTTCTTTACGAGACAGCGCCGTAACGCGATCGATGCGCTTTTTGTTTTTTGATTCCTAAAAAGAGAGAATTTAGCACATAAAAACTAAATTGTAAATTAGTATAATAAAAAGAGAAAGAAAAGTGTTAATTTGTCGCTGAATACCGATCAAATGAAAAACGGCAATTTTATAGGACACAACCTAATACATGCCACATCTTTGTACATTATCTATTTATTTTTTTAGGTATGGAACTACAAACAAAAAGCGATGTATCTTCACCCTGCTTGGTCATTTGGACTACATTCAAACCACATTCTTCCATCACAAATATCAAGCGGATTATCTCTGCTTCACGGCAGCTCTATTTTTAAATACTTTCATAAACTGTTTCTATTTCAGATGATCAAACAGTGAGGGATTTGGAATTGTAAAGAATCGTCCGTGATTACCATCGCACACTTAGGTAACAAAAAATAATCGTCTTTAAAATCAAAAATTCGAACACTACAAATTTACAGAGTTGGAGCCACAAAAATGAACGGGAAAAAATAACAAAAAACCATAAAATAAAATCAAAAATTTCAAATTAAAGGCAGGACTTTTGATGTTAATTTGAAAAATTTCATATCATATCGAGCCGCCACAAATGTTATATGTCGGTCAATAGTATAATAAACTTTCAGAATACTGAATTGAATTTTTGTGGAGTCTGTTTTTTCCATGAAAATTTCTTACTATATTCTGCATAAAGTCAAAAATAATTTTAACTGACGGTCGTATTGCTATGAATGATAATTATCAGATTTGTATCTGTGAACTTTTTAAAGAAGACAAAAATACAGAGGGCTGGGGCGAACATGCCTCTTAACGCCACAAGCCACATGTCTTTTTTTGTCAGCGTTTGGGTGAGATTTCCCATAATGTAGTCAGTGTCAGCTACCTGCCGAATGCTCGACAAGCGAGGATCGCAAAATCATTATTTGAACCTTTTCCTGATTTGGCGTAAATCGGCTTGACCAAAGGTAAAAAATTTCGGTTTCTATAGAATTTCTCCCAGCTTGCTGTGCTATGCTATTCAGCTTGAAAAAGTGAGATGATTTCAAATCTGAAAAAAATTATTTTTTTAGTGTAAAAATTCCAAGGGGCCCTGCCAGCCTGCAGTTGCCCATGTCTTATCAAAGCGGAAAAGAAAAATGTGTAAAGCAAAAAGAGGATCGAATACTCATGGGGAGCACTTCCAGAAGGATCCGAACATGACATCAACTGAGGGAGCTCGGCCGATCAAGGATGTTGCAAACAAGGATATCTCTCGATGGACCGTTTCTCGACGATTGACTCAAGCAGTACTGTATAGCTGGAGGGCTGTACGAAAGCCTTTGATGACCGCAGGCCACAGGAAACAATGGCTTCTATTCGCCAGGACGTACCAAAGTTGGACAAAGCAGGATTGGGCCAACGTGATTTTCGTCGATGCAACAAAAGTGGATATCTTTTTCTCCAAAAGGCAACCACTTGATTAGACGATCCATTGGAAAGCAAATATTCCAAGTATTTGCGTCCTACAATCCGAGCCGGTGGAGGATCAATCATGTGTAAGCCTCATTTCTAATACATGCATTAATATGTACTTTTCTAGGGGCGATGGCAAAAAATGTGGCAGGTACGCTCATCCTCGTCCAGTCAACCATGGATGCTCGCCAGTATATGGGAATACTAGAAGAGCGTCTACTTCCATTTGCTCAGGATCACATGGCTCCTGGATGGTCTCTCTACCAGGACAATTCTCCGGTTCACAAGAGCAAGCTCCTGATGGGTCGCACAGTGGATCTCTCGAATGGAGGAAAAGCTCATCTTTCTGGATGCTTTGCCCTTAATAACGTTTCGTTGATCAATGTGCCCCCTATGTCGCCTGATTTGAACATTATTGAGAATCTATGGGCTTACGTGAAGACAAAGTTACGAGGAAAAGACTTCCACACAAAAGTTGACTTATGGTTCTACATGTGAAAAGTTTGGAGCTCAATTCGACTAGCGATTCTTCACGAATTACTCGACTCAATGCCTAAACGACGAATGAAGTGATTTTGGTAGGAGGTGGACCAATTGAATATTGATTTTTAATGTTTTTAATGTAATGTTGCAAGACTTTCGCACCCAGTTTTTAGGGTATTTTTTAGTGGTTTTGCCATTTACTTTTTTGTTTTACGCTGAACTTCAAATTTGTTTTTGTAAATAAAGTGTACATATATTATTCTAATCAAAAACAAAAAAAACCCTACGAACGGGAGGCGTTTTCTATAAAAAATTTTCATACATTTTTTTGAAAAAGTGGTGTTGCAAGACTTTTGCTCGGTAAAAGTTATAACAGTTTAAACCCAAAAATGCCGTTTGACAACTTTTTGCGCGCTAAAGCATGACTAAATTACCGTAATCGACATTTATTAGTATGAGGGAACAACCCACTTCCCCCTCTCAAAATTTAACATTTAAATAAAAAAAATTTAAAAAAATTTTTTAAAATTTTTAAATTTGTTTTTTAATTTTAAAAAAAAAAAAAAAAAACATAAAAAAAAAAAAAAAAAAAAAAAAAAAATTATTTTTTTTTTAAATTTTTTCTTCCCTTCTCCATCAAAACCCAAACCCCCCCATCAAAATAAAAAACAATAAAAAAAAATAAAAAAAAGATTTACTAAAAAAAAAAAAAAAAGTTTTCTCTCCAGGGAAAAGTTGTATTTCGACGAAATTAATATTTTTCTTGTTATTTACTTCTTTTTTTAGTTGTTTTTCTTTAATTTACTATTGTTCGATTTTCCAGATAGCAAAATGACGAGGCCTAAGAAAAGTAATCGTGTTGCAAAAGAGGAATCAAAAAGCATAGGGAGAAAGTTAGGATTTTGATTTTGTCATTTTAGGCATGGACTCCTAGCAAATTTTTTAGAGATTTGACCGTTTTTGAGTCATGTGGGGGACCGTGGTCAAACTTTGGAAAAAAAATTATTTTGCTCCAGTTTGATCAGAAACTTAATCACTAGGTTAAATTATGCCAATATTTGGGAGACCACTTTTAGACCTCTTTCCTATGTGTATCCCTCTCATCACGCTGTATGAGCGCGCACTTTGGAGCCCCGAATCTCGGCTTAAAACGCCTTTTCCCAAGCGCTTGTTGTCTTTTTCGGAATCGACGCATAAAGCTACTTCAGGAAAAGTGGTTATGGAGAAAAAATAGTGCCCCCAAATATTATAGTTAACATTATCAACTTTAACTCGATTCATGTCGATTTTTTTTATTTCGATTTGTGCCTGATTATAAGTTGTATCTTTTTACCTTAATTTTAGACTCCAACAACGCTATGGAAAACGTTCATCATTCGTTGTTGAATGGTAAGATATTATAATTCGAGTAGCAGTAAATTATTGTAAAATAGTAAGCTAAAATTTTTGAGAAAGGGTTTTGATTTAAGAATTTAATTCTGATCGACTAGACTTGAAAGAAGTAAAATTTGTAAGCCGATGCCATTTCACTCCGCTAAGATTTTAGAAGGCGCTCCTTCGTTGGTGAATAGAGAAATACTGCAACATGTTTGTTCAAGTCTTGGTAAGTTTTGTTTGACATGAAATTTTCTCCCATGCAGAAATAGATAATGAGTGAACAATTAGACAAGCAAGAGGACGCAACTGGCGCGATGAATGAGACATTGCTTGATGAAAGTTTTGTCAATTCGACTCACAAAATTGTTAAGGAAGAAAGGTAAGGTTTTTTAATCGTTTTAGGAGATAATCTCATTTTTCTATTTGACAAGAGCATTTATGCATTTTTATAGATGTGACGGCTCGTCACTTCATGAAGATGAAGGATTTCTGGAAGAAGAGGAAATCGAAGTTGAATTCCAGTCATCTCAGCAGACAGATCAACATCAGGTAATTAATTACTTTTTGCGTCTATGCACTGTATAATGGACATGAGTTTCTATTTTATAGGATCTGATATCCACGCGTCCTTCGGATTCGGGAATGTTCGAGCTGGAAAATGAGGCTGAGAAAGAGAATTTCAACACGGAGAATGAACCGAAAGAGGTGAAGTAAAGCGCTTGATTTTTATAGATCTTTGAATTGCTAAGATAAATCTTGGTCAAATAAATATATAGACTTAATTTTGCACGAGTCTAGGACCTTTCTGTAAGGCTCGAAGTATGACAAATTTATTTATCTCTTACAGCTTCCGAAAGTGAATTTCATCGAACCGATTGAGTCAAGACACACTTATGCCTATGAGTTTGGTAACATGAAACGCAAAGGATTCGAGGAGAAAATTGAAGTAAGTAAATCAAACTATCAAATTATACAAACAAACTAGTATCCAATGACAGATAAAAACTTTTTCAGGAGTTAGAAAATGAGGTCGAGGAAATTCGAGAAAGGAAAATAATAAGAAAAATTAATGTAGGTTTAAATTTAGTATTTTATGTACTAATAAAATTTAGCCTTTTTCATGAATAATTTTTAGGAGCAAACGGCTCAATTCGGCGTTGGTGGTTTGCTATCGGCACTACGATCTGAAGACTCTTTAGATACTAAAGGTTGACTAAAGGAATTTAGTATTAGTTTTAGTTTTGTTTTAATAACTCTTGTTTTAGATATTATGGATACAATGGAAATTGAAACGGTTTACCCGGAAATTATGGGTCAGTTTTTGATTTTTCCAAATTTAAAACAGAACTTTTTAGCTCCCCAATGGGCGGCTCCTCTTGAAAGTTTGGTGAAACGCGAGATGTACGAAAGACAAATTCTTGAAAAGACTTGGCTACATGATCAAGTGAGCTTTAGTGCAATAAGCAATAGCTAGCAGTAGAATTAGCAAAGGTGATTTGAAATCATTTTAGCTTCTCGATATCCCGGCGCCGCCACCACATCCAACCACCGTCAAAGATGTCCAAAGGCTCGTCAGAAGCAAGATGCCGCGATGCAAAGTGAATATTTTTGAACTAAGCAGGCGTTTTATTTTATTAAGGTGTAGTGTTTACTTTTAGTTTTGCAAAACTCGTTTTTGTGAGAATATTCTTGTCGACTTTCATATCAAAGAACAACATCCCGATGAGTATCCATTAATCGAACTTGAGCAGGAGCAAGAAGCTCATGAAATGAGGTAGATTTTAGAATGATTTTCCAAAGCTGAATTGTTTATTTACTATGAGAGAATATATCTGACAATCTAATACATATATTTTGTTGTGATCTATAATGGTAATTTTAGATCAAATGAGCGGGAACAGAATCGCATTGAAGAGCTTGTCTATGGTGGATTTATTCCACCAGAAGAAGATTATTTGGCGGAGAATGCCGAATATGATGTAGAAGAGTGAGTTGCTTAGCTTTTAGCTTTGTGAAAAAAATTTTATATTAGTGTGAATGGGAAAAAAGGACGGATTTCTTTAGGATTCCTCTACCTGGTGAAGAAACGTTAACCGGGAAAGCACCTCGTTTTGTGGATCGATGGGGCACAATGCTACCAAAAGTTCGCAAGTATTGGAAAAAGGTTTGTACGATGAATGAAAAAAAAAGCTATAAATTCTACTTTACTTATTGAATAATACTCTAATTTTCATGCTTTAGGTTTCACCTCAGTGTCCATTTTGTGATAAACGCTTCCGCAATGAGCTTTCACTTAAGAAACATTTTCGCAAAGCACATTCACTTGCTACAAAACCGGTTCAATGTCTTCGTTGTTTTAAGGTAAATCTTTTGTTACGTCTTTATTACAGTAAATCTCTAGATCTTGGAAAGCAAGGAGAATTTGGGAGATCATGTCTGTGATTTGGTGAGTTGGCTTTTTGGATATCGTGAGGACATTCTTTGATCGACGTTTTTAGACATTTCTTTGCTTCGAATGCACACCAATTAGAAATCTCTGCTCGGCAATTCGTCTCGCTTCTCATCGGGCCAAGTTTCATCGAGGTGGATTTGCGTTTTTAAAAATAACTTAAATAGAAGCTTGGAATAATCTTTAACAAGGAAGCCGTAGTTTTAACCAATTTACAGAACCCATTTACCAGTTTAATAACAAGGCTTCTGCATTTTACTTGCTACCGTGAGAATTTAATGTATACAATTTAGGAGCTAATTCGGGTTTCAAATGCTTCGAATGTCAGATGAAATTCCTGACGCCAAGAAAGCTGCGAAAACATCGAAAGATGACACACGTTTTCACAAAAGTTTTTCAATGTCACTTCTGCGATGAGCATTTTATCAGTGAAACTGCGGTGAGTCAATTTTTCATTGATGGCTTAGGTGTTTGTAACCAGACATCGGGTTTTTCTGATCAACTATTTATTTTTTAGGTGACAACACATGAGCGAATTCACACCGGGATCATTAAGTTTGAGTGTACGATTTGTGATTTTCGTTGTAATCGGTGAGTTTTGCTCAATGAATACGGAATAATTTTGTTTTAGTTATTTGGAAATGGAAAATCATAAACGCGACGAACATGGGTATTTGTGTTCGATTTGTCAGTGAGTTTTGTTGACGTTTTTAATGTCTTAATCTGTGTCGAGATGTAGTTGAACGTTTTAAGAATTTCACTTCTAGACTCTGCTTTGGAGATTGGTCTGAAATGAAAGCCCACACTTTGCATGACCACGAAGGATATCTCACTTCGGATGCGGATGCAAGTACGTTCGAACCTTTTAAAAGCAAAAAAGTTGCATTTCTTTGAATTGAAGACCGTTTTCTATTTCTTTATTGAATTCAAAACAGGGTTTTATATTTGAGGAAATCAGTACTTAATCAATGCATTGTGCTTTTTAGCTTACATCGAATCGCCTCGTGTTTGGGTGATGTTCAAAGGAGAATAAAATGGAGGGAGGATCCAATTTGGCTTAAAAAATTTTTATACTTTTCCACTTTGTTGTTTTATTTGTTTTATCATTTTGCTGTCTTGTTTAGTTTTGACTTTGTAAGTGAAATAAAAGTTTGCGTTGACTTGAAAGAAAATCTACAATTAAACGAAATGGTGAACGGAATCGGAGAAGAAATGCTCACCAGAACCTAAAAGATTACAATTAGGTGGGTAGCCTGCTATTGAACCTGCTCTCGTTAATCCATTTTGTCAAATCTTGTCAAAATAAAAAGATAATCTCGTCTTCTGAAAAGCTTGATCTTTCAATCACTTTTTCTTGCCTTACCATCGAATCACATCTTTGTGGGATGCTCTTTTGTATTATTCTGTCTAATCTGTCATTGCTTAGATTTGTATTATTCTGTCCCATAAATACCTCTAGAAATTAATTGTTCTTAATTATTTCTTTAACAATTTATAAACTTTAACTAAAATTAATTAGAAAACAACTACAAAATCCTTAAGCAATGCTCTTAAGAAAAAAATACACAGATATAAAAACACAATCATTACATAAACACAAACAAAACAACAAAATCAAATATCAGCTATTTCCCTCTGATGAGATTTATTCACGCTCACGCTTTGGTGTGGCTGGAGGCGTCATTGACTTGTTATCTAAATGTTGGAATGAAGTTGGAAAGACCTTTCAGCTTACCGAGCTTTCCTACAATATTATGTCGTCTGAGCTTCATGTTTCTCATAAAAGACTGATGTTGAACTCCTTGACGCTGGGCATAGTCCGAGTCGTTGGTAACCTAAAATGAAAATGTCCACCAATAAAGTTCTTTGTTTAAAAATTACCTCCTGCAATGGGTGTGTTGACTGAAGGTTCATATTTAAAAGCGTTTGAATAGGCTGTCTTTTGGACACTGGCGTGTTTCCCTTGTAGAAGAAATGAGAGCCCCGATTATAATTGTGGTTGTTGTTCTCATGCGTTTGTTGTCCTTGTTTAGTTGCGTCAATGGACGCCGGCGACATAAGGGAAGATGGAAAGATTGAGGATGGGAGAGAAAAATGCCCATATGAAGCTTGATTTGGCGATACCTAGACGAAAATTAATTGACTGATTTACAAAATAACCAACACTCATCGGTGTCCCCGGCATTCCCAAGTAGTAAGATCCTCCGTTGTACATCGGCGGCGAGAGGGGCGTTGACGGAGGCGCCAAAACATTATTTGGACTACATGGAGAGTTCGCTGGAGTGCTCATAGGCGAGGCCTGATCTGAACCGTATCATAATTGCAAGCACTTCAAACGTTTAGTCAATAAAAATTTATTTTTGTCAGAACTACCTCACTCTAATCTAAAATTAGATAAATGAAAACTCACCAGTAGACCATGTATCCTTTCCCGGCTGTCTTGCAGATTGAGTTCTTTGGCGTTCCATCACATACGCAAATGGTGGCGGCTGAGGAACTCCGATGAGATAAAATGGCACAGGTTGCGGAAAAGCGTAGCCGTATCCCTGCGTTGGAGAGATGATACCATTTGGTGTAGCGATTGCATAGTCTATACAAAAAATCAAAGAGCACAATAGATATTTTTACCTTCAATTCTTGGTGTGTTGATTTTCCTGTAAGCAGGTGCAACCTTCAAAAAGCGTCCATTCAGCTCCAAATCTTGTGTGGGCTAAAATAACCTAATAATGAAAAGAAACAATGGCCAACAAACAATTCTTCTTCCATTTTCTGCATCTGCTTCAGTCTCGTAAGTGACAAACGCGTATCCTTTTGATAATCCATCCAATGACTTGATGATTTTGGCTTCTTTTACTTTGCCGGCACACTCGAAGAGTTGTCGTAACTCACTTTCCGTTGTCTGAACACAAAAAGTCAAACATTTTAAAGCGGACAAATAATCAAACAACTAGGTAAGCTTCTTGAGCCCAAAGGAAATTCTTTTATTGAGGAATACTCTACGAATACCCGAGGGCAATGTGAACTTGAGACATAGGTATTAACTTTTCAACTTGAAATTCAAAACCTTGGAAACAAACCTCAAGCCCAAATCCGGAAACAAACACTCGATTCGGCATGATTTCGTGTCGGGGAATCTCGGTCAACAACGGAGCCATGTAGCCGCTCATACCATCGAGAGGACCACTTCCTCCGTACATCATTGGACCTTGATAATTTCTGACAGTAAGTCCAACAAAATAAACCTGGCAATATGCGATAGCTTAATCAAAAACTAACAAATTTTAGAATTGAATTAACCAAAAGTTACTATTTATTCTTGAATCAAACAAAGGAAAACAAATGTTCAAAAAATTACAGGCGATGAAATTATGTTCTGGTGGAGATTTTGCTGGAGTCACGCAAAGCCTAAACTGACGGATTAATTAACCTGACAAAATGTTCACTACCTAAATTGTACCATATCCATCAATAGTTTGCTTGAAAGTGATGAGGGATGCTTTAGCGGCATCAAAATCGATCTCTTTAAGCCCTGAGTCCAATGATATTCAACGACAACACGGCTTTCTCATAAATATCAGCCATCTAAATAAAAGTGTCAATCGATTAGTGCTGAGTGCTTACTTTATTGCCTATTTCAATCATCTTAGCAAGTTTGGTAAGTTCCTCGGGTGTTTCAGGCTCCGTCTCATTTTGTGCGATTATACGCTAAAAAACTTTTACAAAACTGATTTGCATAAATGATGTTACTTTTGTGTCGTCAAGCAGTGTCTTTGTTTCTCCTAGAATGAAGAGCTCCTCGCTTTTCTCCAATGCAAGCTTTCGCATATCGGAACTGAAAAAAGACGTATGGCATGATCAAAATAAAACAAACACACCGAAACGATTCACTACTTTTTTGCACCCCTGCGCAAGTTGAGATTGTCCTTCTTAGCAATTGATCGTCCTGAAAACCAAAACAATCGGTTACCAAGGTAGACAACTCAAATACTAAAGCATTCACAATTTTAGCGACTTATTAATTTAAAAATCAAAGAGAAAAGCACCATCGTCTTTATTCTAGAAAATCTTACTACCTAGATCATCCTAGCAGTTACCTAGATAACTATTGCCCAACCATTTACCTCCGAAAGTTGCGTTTCTATGAGGCTGGCTTTATTGACAGTCGATGAAGTTGTCATATTGCTCTGCTTGCGTTGATTTGGCACGTTTGGGCTCTCCGACAGTTGGCGACCTCCTTGCTTCTCCTTGCTTTTCATCTGGCCTTTGTGGACGTAGAGACGACATCTAAAGAAAGCCAATAAGTATCCATTTTAGCAAATCGGCAACATGAATAAAAAGGAAAATGTGAATTATCAAAAGAATGATACCTAATACTACGCTAAATCAGATTTGCACGTATAAATTATCGAAAACGCAAAGGGAAGGAGAATCCTGAACGTGACGTTTGTTAACGAACAATTTCCTACTGGTGAAAATCTTTTAACATTAGCTTTTGAGTTTTCACAAACCTTAAATTTCAATTAGACGGCTGAATAGCTTGAGATTTGAGCGTGTAAATTGGAACGTTGCGAAAATGTCTCTCGAAAATTTTTTCGGACCTTTTCCATTGCCACCCCCACTAGTGATTGCCCATTGAATTTCTATCGAATCTGATCTGAGTTTAGGAGCTTTCTGATTTCATCTGGCCCTTTTTGCTCTTTCATCTACAAACAGTTATATTTCTATCATATAGGTATCAACTACTCTACTCGGGATCATCGAAAATGGACGTTGAAGTAAGAGCTTGCTTTAATTTAGAATTTAAAATCGAGTCCATCTAAGCTCTCATATTTTGCTTCTTTTTACTGTTGTCATATGTTAGATGATTAGATGCAAAAGTGATCTGAGTTGTATCCGGAACATTATTGGCTCTTTAACGTGTATTTGACGGGCTCATTAGATGATACTACAGTAAGTTTAGAACGATGCTTCGAAAAAATATATTATTGATCTCCGCCCCGAAACAACTAAAATATAATAATTTATTAAAGTTTTAAACTTTTTGTTTTAGGTGCGAAGGAGCATCAATGGAGTCGAGACATGGAGCACTGTGAAAGCGATCGATTTCACAAACGAGGGACTTCTTATCGCTGGGGATGCTGACCAAAAAGACATCCAAAAGATCCCTTTTTCCGATGTCAGGCTGCCACCAATTTCAACTCCAAAACAATCTTACAAGGTAAGCGTGGTCTAATTCGTTTGTTTTTAGCGTCTACAATTTTTGATATTTAAGGTCGGCGATGAAGTTGAAGCCTTACTTCGCGGCAGAATGTGGCAGCGCGTGAAGATCACCGAGTTCAAGGTAAGGTTGATATTTGTTAGCTTCATGTACTTTGCTTTTAGGGCGATTTGGTAATTGTGGATCTGGCAGACGGAAAGACCGACGTTGTTGAATTTAACTCCAAACTTCGACCAGTTAACACTCGTTACAGGACACTTACCAAAGATTCTTTTTGTCAAGAGCGAATTAGTAAGTTTTAAACATAGATAATTGTACTGGTTTATTCCTAGAAATCCCCGACGACCTCGTGGATTACTTCAAGAAGATGAATATCAACGAGCAATTCGCTGCCAAGGTTGAGAGATGTTTTGCTAAAATGGAGGATGGTCACATGGTCGTCTACGCAACCGAAGAAGCTAAAATCAAGCGCGCAAAAATGCTTTCAGATATTTTCATCCGGGTGAGAAGTAATTTTGATCAACTTTTTCATACCGTAATACTCTAATAGAAGCGCATGTGCTTCTAATTTTTTGGCCTACTTGGAGCCCGATTTTAGATAAATTTTTCTTAATAACTTTTGATAAAACAAATAGTTTCTAAAAGCTGACGTTCTAAACTATCTATATCTTGTTAAAACTTTCTGTTCTGACAAATGTAAGGTGCCTAAAAACCAGCTGCAAGTAGGCCAAAAAAACTACCCTCCCCCCCGGCGTAAAAAACTACTCCGTTAACCGAAAAGTTTCTCGAAAAAAACAGAAAAAGAATTTTTTTAAAATTTTATTGTCAACCCTTCTAGATTATACATATGGCCCATATACACCATTCTAAGCACTTTTCAGCGAAACTTTTTCAAAAGTGGTGACTTTTTGGGCAACCAATTTTGTATGGGGAGGGGCGCTTCTATTAGAGTATTTACGGTAGCTGGTTATGATTATTGAAATGTTTGTTTCTAGGACCAAAAACACCACATGGTTCTTACGCAGAAACAAGAAGAAGCACGCAAGGCACTTGATAATACTGAAGAAGATGCCTCCACTTACATTGAAGAATTTGTGTAAGTTTTGCTCTACCACCTTGTCGACATATGGGCTATTAAACGAATTTAAAGTTTTGCAATGAACTGATTAGAGAATTTAAGTCATTATAACCAATTAACGGCTACAATTTTTAGTGTACCACAAGAGCTTATGGGTTTGGCCATCGGATCAAATGGGAGCAATATGAAACAAGCAAAGGGAATTGAAGGTGTTCGTGACATTAAGGTAAAGACTCACTTCTGTGTATTATATCTCTTATTTTTTGATTGATCGAGGCCTCATCCAACCATTTCGGTTTAACAAGAATACACAAGGAACACATGTAATATTTTGTTTGAATACAGAGATTATCAAATAGGGATTAAATTTGTTTTTAAAACCAGTAGACAAGCTAGGAAATTTGCATAGAAATTATAACTTATAATTATGATGGAGATTAATTTGAGTCTAGGTAATAGAGAGCGATGATCAGACACCTGCTCGTTTCAAAGTGTATGCAGACGATCCGGAAGCAGCTCAACAAGCTCGTGCCCTTCTCGAATATGCTCAAGAAAGTGTTCATGTACCAAAAGAACTCGTTGGAAATGTAATAGGCAAGAATGGGAACGTTATTCAGGTTTGATCAAAAAGCTACAAATGCACAGATTGCATTTCAGGATATTGTTGATAAAAGTGGTGTGATTCGAGTTCAAATTGCTGAAGGTACGGCTGACAACGAACAGCGTGTTCCTTTTACCTTTACGGGTACTAGGCAATGCATTGAGGATGCTGACTTTTTGATTCGCTATCAGGTGAGTATACACTTTATTTAAACTAAGTGAATTTTATTTACCAATCAACTGCATCACTAACTTCTATATTTTTGATTTTAGATCAAAAATAATGAAGCTATGAAGGAATTGCGCCAGAATGTTGATGAATTGCAACGCCGGATGTATCACAGTAGCAATGCTCCAGTGTTTGGTGGAGGTAGTATTGAAGAGTTGTTTATCTTATGCTGCAGAAATTTAGGAGCTCGAGGAAGAAACGGCTTTGCAAACAGGCGTGGTCGCGGCGACAGAAGTGGCTTCAATGTTGGGGAACGCGTGGACTACGATCAATTTGAAAGTCGACAGAACAACGATGAAGTACGCCCTGGTCAACGTCAATTTAGTGATCGTAGAGGACAAGGTAAGCCCAACGTCATGAAACTATCAGTACGTTTTTATAGGACGTGGATATCGTGGAAACGATGGATTCCGCCAAAATCGTCGCACGGGATTTCGTAATGATCGGGGCAATTGATTTTATCAAGGTTCTGAATTTACTATTACGTTCGTTTCTGTAATCCTCTATACTCCATGATTCCGGTTAATTGTTTTCTTTCCTCTTTGTTTCTCGTTTCAAACACAATGTTGCTTTTTGAAACACGTGCTCAAATCTAATCTTGATTTTAGCATAAGAGGATATCAGCTTGTTTTATAAGATTTAAACTAGTTTTTCTCCATTGTATTTAGTTTCTTTCGTCTTTTTACTCTGGTTTTGTTTGTTGGGTTGGCTATGAGTCTTTTTTAAACATTTGTCACCATATTCTTCCGATCGCAGACTTGGTTTTTGAGAAACTTATTTAATGTTAAACTTTACAATAAATTGTTGTTCCTAATTTGAGTATTTTGTTTCTTTACGGCGATAAAATAACGATAAGTACTTATCATCAAAGCAATTTGAACACCAGTCGATAGAGCCGCTCGGTTGACCATTTAGTGTCAGGACTGTATTTTCATTTCAAGGTATGTCTTTTGTGCGCGAAACTACGATCATAAACAAAACGACACGGCAGAACTTGATCACATTGGTCGGGAAAGTACTGCAAGATGCCTCAACGGATCGACGAGATGTGTGGTCGACTGACCTCGACAAGGACTATCGGAAAGGAAACGTGCTCTCCAATGGACAATTTGGAATGGTCGTTTCGGCTTGGTGCAAGGAACATAATGGAAGAATGAACGATGAGCAACGATCATGCGTGCTGAAGATTCGACACGTGGGACGTTGTGTTGATCAGGTAGCCGAGTTAACTTTGGCTCTCAGCTGAATTCATTCGTTAAGATTCTCGAATCGGCCGTTGACGAAAAAACAGCGGAGCAAAACGTCCAGGGTCTAGTAAAACGAATGGTGATCGACGTCTATTTGATGGCCCGTGTTCGGCACGCAAATCTTGTGCATCTTCACGCTTTATCAATTGGCTTGGGAGATGTGACTTTCGTGCTTCCTCATCTCTACTGCCTCGAAACACTCATTGAACAATGGCGCGTGAAGATGAATGGAGAATCGATTCCGGCTGAAATTATCATGCGAATTATACGACAAATCTGCATTGCTTTGCAGTTCCTTTCTAGTGCAAAAATCTTTCACCGGTGCGTCTCTTTCTAATTTGTTGGCTAACACTTTTGTTTAGAACAATTCAAGCTGATCACATTTATCTCACTCGCAATGGTACGGTGAAATTGGGACATTTTAGCGCTGTTAAGTTAACGGTTAGTTCAAATTCTTTACTTCAGATAATTTTGGATGTAGGAAGACAAGTCACAATGTGTGACACCAGTCGGAAGCCGTGAATACATGTGCTTTGAAAAGCAGTTCAACTTGTGCGAGGCAGAGACTCGTGAAGCTTGCATGAGCTACGATGGAGCCGCTGATGTTTGGGCGGTTAGTTTTTGTGTTAGGCGCAGTAATAAAAATTATTTTTTTAGCTTGGAGTCGTAATCCTCCGTATGATCTCTTTCTTTCCTAATGAGCAATGGCAACGTCTTCAACCCAATTTTGCTTACACAATGTATCAAGAGCGAATGCCCTTTAAATGGATTATTGCTGATTTGACGGTAAGTTAGCTATTGCTGTTGTAAATATTTTAACCGTTTAGCAATTGCGAGTCCGTATGCGAAAAGCAGCAAGCGGGGTCGATCTTTGTCGATGGCTTTCGGAGAAGGTTAGATTTGGGGCCCGTGGAAAAGAACATGAAATTTTAGGTGTTCACCATTAAAGCTGCAAAACGGTGTACACCTGCCCAACTTCTTACTTCAAAAACGTTGAAGAAATTTTGCAGTGCCGTAAGCTCTCTTGGCAAGACGTGCAACCATCAAAGTTTAGACCGTCAAACAAGACAGTAAATATCTCTACGATCGACTTATCTGTATTCTTGACTGGCCAAACCGGGATCGTCTAGAGACAAATCGGGCTAACTACGATTGCCTTGAATCGGTGAGTTAGTGGTTGTGTTTGCAGTAACCATTGACTTAGAAAGACATTCCCGCTGAATTTTATTGGGATGATTGTGGAACATGGAAGCTAATCGAGAAGGCTATCTTCGAATATCAAGGAAAGGTATGATGTATTGGATGGATGATTGGACATTTATTTTATTTTTACAGATTCACCGAGTAAAACCAAGGCGCTGAAGCCATGCCAAGCACTTCCGTGGCGAAAGATCAAGTCTGCCGGTTAAATCTACATCACGAGGAGCTTGCCGTTTTTAGGTAGCCCTTGGTTAAAAGCTGTAACTTGCACTGTAACTGTAATACCTGTGATAGTAGTCCCCCCGTAATCGCGTAATCGCTAAAGCAAATAATTTTTTTGAACACGCTCAGATTTTCTAAAATAAACTGTTAGTACCAAAAAATTCTTTGCTTCAAGCGCTATCTTTTGATGTCTAAGCGCACATGTTTCGTCGAAGCAGCGTGGGGAACTGAGCGTCACAAAATTATGTGTTAGACTGCGCGACTGTACGGGGGGCCACTACTATTACAGGTATTTCGGTAGTCACGCCGCTTACACTGATGTAAATACCTTGATGGTAACTAATTTATTCTTTTTTAGTGGTCATTTTCTCTTCTCCGAGTCGCAAGCACTTCTGTATCAGCTGAGTCAATTCGTGGCTGAGGGCCGTTTTTACTGGAGCGATGTACTTCTCATTGATGGATTAATTCGCCAAAGAGCCTCTGAAGCAATGCGAGATCATGTCGAAAGCCAGCACGTTACTTTTTCTACACGCTCAGGTAAGGGTTGAATCAATATTAGTAGATCGAAAAAAGGATGGAATTTCACTACACCTTTAGGCCAGCCAACCATGATGCCGCGCTGGGGTCCATACCAGCATCGGGAATGCTCGATTGAAGTACGCATTTTGGGATTTAACGAATAAAATTTCACCCTGCACGATTCTCTATGCCAGCTTTAATGACTGCTATTTATCCAGTTCTGTGATTTTGAGTTTGTACTTTGTGATATTGCGAATAAACAAATTGCTTTTACGAATAAACAAATACGCAAAACGGGAAAATAGTTATTTGATTTCTTGGCGACGGGAGCAGCAGTAGGTGGGGCGAGCATCTTCAATCCTTCTTTCTTTCGGACTATGTCGGTGGGGCGCTAAAATCAAAATACTTGAAGCAAGCATACCAGTTTAAAATAAAACTAAACTTTGAAATATTGTACACCTACTCTTTTTGCACTTTCACGCATTTCTGCTCGGACACTTGCTTTGCAGATTGTATGGACACTAAAAAACAACATGAATGCAGGTTATCGACAGCTTTAAGCGTTCTGTTTTACAACACCCTTTGAATTCTTCAACAGCGTTATATTTATAATAATATGAGCAATTGAACAGCCTAATGATCAGCTTTTGGAAAACTTGTTCATTTAATGCTTATTAGCGTACTTATTTACTGAGACTTTGTCCTTTTCCCTCAACCATAGCTGGTTAGATTTCTCGATCAAGCAATAAACTAAGACGATTAAATGACTAGAGATAGCTGAATTGGATATCAATCAGACCTTTCTTGTTCATTTAATGCTTATTACCGTGAACTGAGACTTTGTCCTTTTCCCTCAACCATAGCTGGATAATTTTCCCATTTAAACCAAAAACTAAGATGAAGGAATGACTAGAGACAGCTTAATTGGATATCGATCAGATCTTTCTTGTTCATTTAATGCTTATTACCGTGAACTAAGACTTTGTCCTTTGTCCGGAAAAGGAAGCTATGGTTTTATCGTGTTGCTCAAAGGTCACCCGTGAGTTTGAATCTTGAGTTAAGTTCAAGACTAAAAGTAACACACATTTTTACCTTTTAAAATGTTAAAATTTTTAGAAGAATCGCTGCCAAGTACTCAGCAAAAGGGGTGCTCGATGAGAATTCAAGAAAAACGAAAAACTTATCGAAAAGATGTGGAAAACGTGGTCAACGGCAGTGAATGCGAGAAGGGCAACTTTGTCAAATTTATCGACTAAAATATTAAAACATTTACAAATTTGATTTTAAAATAAAAAGTATAACTTTCATGGTTTCTTGAATTCCCCGGCCGTCCAACAGTTAAGGTCTGGCGTTAGCCGTGGGTTAACTGCTGGTCATTGTAAATAGCGAATCGAAAATCCAATGTAGTGCTTTGATTGGTGTTCGTTTGTCGACGTGCAGGAGCAGGATTTTAAATTTCAAAATTTGAATAGATTTCTTGAATTTTGGCTATTTGTCGGATGATTTTATCTAGTGAAATCAATGCACCCGAAGCTAAGTTTAAAGACAGCTCCTAGACTTGAACTTTCAATAGACTTTTGGTGAGTATTGACTCGAGATGCTGCGGTTCTATGATTGGAGTTTTTGCGTTGACCCATTCAAATCTAAACTTTTCCATGGTTTTAGCCTCAATTCCGCGATGAATCGTTCCCAAATTCTCATCCCAACGACCGTTGCAATCGTCGTTTCGCCCGAAAAAACACACACTCTTCTCGTTGAAAACAATTTGAAAGCGAAACAAAAGTGAGTTGAAGTCACCGTGCATAAGCAATTGTCACGCTGAGTTTCTCTGTTTTCTCGGGAAGTAGGCGATTTTTCAGAAAATTTTCTTTTAATTCTTGATAATTGACCCCATCATTTCTCGATCCGATTTTGTGTGTGTCAAAGATTTGATCTTTCAACTCGTTCGGAAGAGTTGACGGGAAAAATTGAGACATTTTTTAATAAAAGTCAAGAAACTTGAATCTAATTTAGATAAAAGTCTTACATCAGACTTTTGACTTTCATTGCGAAAAGAAATTCGTAAATAGGCTACGATGACTCAAGCATGAAAGCATGAAATTGCGGCACAAAAGGGCTCGGCTTTAGAAAGATTATTTATAGTTGAAAGTGCAATGATAGAAAATTTATTGATTGTTTCATTTATGATTCATTTTTCACTTCATTCATTCACTTATGAACAGAGTGACAAAATTAAATATAGCTTATAGAATAAAAAACGACGAGAACTCAAGTTAATAAGGTGTTTAAACTTTTCATTTACCTAGAAAAAACCATTTTGCAAAAATTTTTTATATTTAACCTTTTCCTCTGGGCTTAGGTGACGATATGGAGCTTCGATAATTGATGTCACTTTGATGCTAACATATTCGTCGGCTTTACCGAGTGACACGACAACGTTGATGGTCTCAACCAAGTCATTCACAGTGATCAGAGCAAACTTTCGCAGATCCCACCATTCGACTTGAACCCTTTGCATGCTCAGATGTCGATCGATTGTCAGAGCTTGTTGCCCGTTTTCGTCGCTCGGCAATTCGAGCAAGAGCCGATCCTCCGAGATTTTTGCAAAGAGGAAAAAGTTTGGACACTGACCGTCTGTTTCTTGAAGCGACTTCTTTAGGTATTCCGTCATATCTCCACAATAGCCTGACTTCCAGAAAGCTTTTAGCCACTCAAAATACCAGGAAAAGGCTTCGTATTGTTGCTGGTAAGCGCGGAGTATATCTGAGTGTAAAAGCAATTAAACTTTATCAGTTCACTGTCTCATCCAACTTTTTATTCTCTTGAATTTTCTTCCTTTCAACAGCCACTCGTTTAGTCATCAAATTCCGATCAGCAATTGTATAAGTGATGGCTGAAGTGAGGCTTCCAACACTCAAAAGACCCAATTGCAAGTAAAGTGGAGGCGACACTTCCATAGAAAAGACAAAACGAGGAGAGGAGAGCCTGATATGGACTTTAAAACTAAAGTGAAGCTTTAAAGCCAAAGTGATGAGGTACTTCTTGACGATACCGCAACCTACTACCAACTGCCCGCTTAAAATCTTGGTCACCATTTTGATTATAAGTTTTATCCAAAGTAGGTGGGTTTTCCATGACCGATGTGGCCAACGTGCCAGCGTTTAAAGTTGGTTTCTTCCGCGATTGTACCGAATACCGAAGTAGAAGTGGCTGAGTTGAGTCAAAAGTTTCTATAAAAAATCAAAATCAAGTAATCAAAAAATTGCTGCCAGCCTCTTTCTTTCGCAAAAAAATCCCCGGGGAAAAAGAAATGCAAAAGATTTGCAGGTTCATATTGACTTTTTGAAAAAACTAAAACGTGACTTAGACCGTAACCCAGACAGTTTGGCAATGACACAAAAAGTGGCATATAAATAGTGCTGAAACGTCGTTTAATTCATTTTCCACTTCTCCTCAGAGCATTTTTGGACATAGTTTGTTAACCAGCTTTTAATTCATTCCTAGTCTAACTTAGTAGAAAACGATCTAAGAATACCAGCGCAAATGTTAAATATACTCTTAAGTGGTGGCAACAAGGTCGCATAGTCGGATGGCGCTGCCTTTCACTCATTATATTCTCCTTTCCACCAGTTGGTTCTGTACGCAATAATATTTTCTGCTCCAATTTATCAGAAAGGTGTAGGTTAAATTATGCCAAAAGAAGTTTGAGAGAAAAATGTTCTGAGAGAACAATTTTAGTTACTTCCCTATGTGCATCCCAGAGAGCGCGCGTTTTGGAGCCTTTACTGTACTTTGGATAAAACTTATAATCAAAATGGTGACAAAGATTTTAAGCGGGCAGTTGGTAGTAGGTTGCGGTATCGTCAGGAAGTCACCTCATCTTCAAGGAAAGCCTTTTGTGCGTTTTTAAAAAATCACACTATCCCGGTCTCGGTAAAAATCGGTACATCTGATCAATTTTTGTAGGGGATTTGTGACTTAATTGATCTTGATTTTGTTCATCATCACCGAGAAAATTTTCTTTATAAATCACACCCTTGGTCATTTTAAAGGAATAAAAAGGATTTCCATTTCATCTTTTCTCCTTCTCTCTTGCATTTTCTACATGTTTCCTTTACAAGATTCAGTTTTTTTCAATCAAGGTTTTTCTTCTTTCAGGTGCAATATGTGGGTGCCAACAGCTGAGCAAATTCTCCCCGTTCTCTCGATCACCGCCATGATCTCCACGATATCGCTGTTTTTTTGTGGCTTGTGAGTTACTTGAACGAGACTTTAGCGGCGCATCGGTTATGTAACAACGTGACTAGAAGCTTATATCTGTTGATGGAAAATTTTATTTACATGTCCTGTATATCCTAGGGTTGTCACAACTTTTTTGCGCCTCTGCCCGACTTTGAGAAGCTTTAATTCAGATTTTTAGCTTACTTGTATTATGTAAAACGAAACGAGAATTGATTGCTGCCGGAAAACGTTTCCGAAGTTTTGAAAGTTAACGTTAGAAGTTTAGCAGTTTAGAAGTTTTTTGGATAGCCCCTAGGGTCCAAAACCACTGCCCCGTGTATCTCATTTTAGAAAAATCCATGATGGAGCCTGAAGATTTTGAAAAATTTCCTTTTTGGGTATAGATTGATTGGGTACTTCTGGACGAACTCTAGCGATTCTCCCAAAAAATCCTACTAAGAATTGGCACTAGCACTAGCAAGAACATAGCTGATAACTGATATGACGTGTTAGTAAACCTTGATCGAATAAAATGAAAATTCTTCTTGAACATCCGATCTATTTAGTCCGATTTGTTGGAAGATCTGGAAGCGGAGTGGAACGAAAGATATCAGTGGAATGCCGTTCATTATGGGACTCATCGGGTGAGAGAATTATTAAAGAGTATCAGAAAATAGGCTTACAGATTGACTTTCGAGTTTGTCTTTAAATTCTTACAATCACTTTAGAGCCTCATTCTGGCTGATTTACGGTTTTCTGAGAAGCGATTCGACGATGATTGCGGTGAATGTGGTATGAAGATCTCATTCTCAATCCGTTTAAAGCAATTCTCTAGGTTGGCTCGAGTCTTTTCTTTGGCTATTCCATTTTCTATTTGGTGATGAGCAAGCCGAGGGTTAGTGGTTTTCAGAGTTTTCGGTGTACTGTAGAGACTGGACTTTATAGCTAAGCTTTTAAATGTTTAATCTACAATTCCTTTAGACATCTTTCGCCATCCAATTGCTTTTCTCAATCTCGTTGGTCTCGTTGATGGTCGTGTTGGTGGTGCACTATGGACTGAAAATGAAGATGTTTCTCGGTGTTGTCTGTATGACGTTCAATATCGCCTGTTTTGCTTCTCCACTTGCCGGCATGGTTGGTGTCTTTTAAAAAGACAGCTATTCCCCATCATTCAGCTGATAAGACTTGACACACAGGATGAAATTACAAAACAAACGGGTATTTTGTCTGTCATTTTGTCTAGTTTCTCAAAAATATAAACAAAACTAAGCAAAAATTTATCCTAGGCAAATTCCTAGACTAGGATTTTTAGCGGTAAATTTGTACCAGGTGTTTTTCGGAGTCCAGGAATTCATTGGAAATATCCATTTTCGAGCCTAGCAATTGAAACTCGGGTTTAATTGATTATGCAAAAGGTCAACAATAGTCTATTCCTGGATAAAGTTATAAATCTTTTTCGAAAATCCCGAATAACGGATAATAGTCGATGTGATTTTTTCAGAGAGTCGTGTTGAGAACTCGTTGCACGGACACTCTACCCCTTCCGATGTGTATGGCGAATTTGGCGGTCTCTTCTCAATGGTTGCTTTATGGAATCTTAATCAATGATATCTATGTCATTGTGGGTTTTTAGCGAGATAATATAGTTAAAAAATGGAATTTGATAGAATGGGAAAATGAGACTGAATACCTAGTTTTCAAGTTTAGCAAGATTACTGTAGCTATTGGGTTACTGTCGGTTGAAATTCTAATTCTAGATCCCGAACGCGTGCGGCGTGTTTTTGTCGTTTATCCAATTGTCGTTGTTCTTGATTTTCCCGATGAAACCGGGGAAAAAAGCGCCACTTTCGGGCTGTTTTCCGTGCATTCAACCACCAGAGAAACCGCGTGGCGACGAGCGAGAAGAAAGAGGTGAGTGGATGAGGAATTATTTTTAAGCTAAAAGTACGTATGATAAAACCTAGAATCAAGAATCAACCTAAATTTTCCCTCTTTTAGCCGCTAGACGGTTTGCAATCAACTGCCACAACATCGAAATCTCTTCGTTTTGGAGAAAAATCTCAATAAGTACGTTTAAAAGATTTGTGATTAACAAAATTAAGAATTTTCAATTTAATCATTTAAATTAACATTTTAAACTAATTATAAAAGCTGTTATAGCTTTCAAATATTATAAGCTAGCAGCAGTCAAGTTTCTGACTAACTTTTTTTATTTAGATCATCGCAAAAAGATGCAAAAAAAGCAAAGATTGCATTCCCAGACATTGAAAAATAAATCTTTTTGGAATAATTTTTGAGACTTTCTTTGAAACTAAGATTAACTAGAAGCTTTTCACACAAAAAACGCTGTCGGTGTTATTGGGCAAACGGACAATACAAAACAATGCCGTTACCAAATGACTTTCCAGATTCGAATTATCAGACTCCTCTCAGAAACACTAGAATTAGAACCAAATAGGTGCCGGATTAGAACCAAATCAGTATTTATCAAAACCAAATTGGTATCGTATTGGAACCAAGACGGTAACGTATTAGAACCACATCGGTGTCGTATTAGAACAAATCGTTCCAATACAGTTCAAATATCATACTGATTTGGTTCCAATACCGTCCAGACTTGGTACTAATCTGGTCCAGATTTATTCCAATACGGCAACAGATCTGGTTCCACTACGGTACAGATTTTGCTTCACTAAGGGTCAGATTTTGCACCAATACGGTCAAGATTTGGTTCAATACTAACAGCTACCTCCAATACTTGGTTCCAATACGGTACAGATTTGGTTTCAATAAAATACAGATTTGGTTCCAATCCAATAAAGATTTGGTTCAATAAGCACAGATTTGGTTGCAGTGCTAACAGCTTTGTTCCCATATGGCCCAGATTTAAGTCCAGAAAGTAGCACTCTTGCCTATTTATCATTCTTGTTCAAATCCAAGCTTTGGTTTAACCTAAATCTGAAGTCTCTTTAGCCTTTTTGTATTTAGCATACTGGTTCCTCGTCTCCCCTCTTTAATACCCGTTTTTCTCTCATTCACAGCTGTGTGGGAGAGTTGGGAGAAGACTGACCCGGTTGTGACGCCCCACCTCACTGTCCCAAAAAAATACGCATCGGAATCAAAAAATCGAATTCAGGACAATTTTTGGTTGTTGTCCAGACAAAAAAATCAAAGTTTGGGAAATCCCTCTACTCACAAAAAGGTATTACGATAAAGTTTACGAAAAATGTCATAAGGAATTCGTCAAAATTTCGATTTTTCGATTTTTCTCATATTCCCTCCCACAAGAAGTGCCAAGCGATGTATTACAAAGTTGTAGCCCTGGTTTTACTCTTTCTAACGTTACCCATTATTTCTCTGCTTTTTGTTTGCGATGAGTTCTGAGGGTTTTTCCGGCGTCCACATACAAATATGGGAAGAGTGCCATTCAGGACCGCAAGAAGCAAGAGTTCCATAGGTGTTTTATTCTGGATCTATATTAAAAAATATTGGTTTTCCCTAAAATGGTCTGCATACTCCCGACAATTCCGTGAGAGAATTTACAATAGATCTGCCAGATAAAGTCGAGAGCGCCATAGACAAGGGTTTGTTCCTCAAAAATAGTGCAAAATAGGAAACAGTGCTATTTAAAATAAACTAATATCTGATTTATGAAGATATTCATGATATTCAGTTGATTGACTGACCTGAATCGTTGTTCCACTATTTCTTAGAGAAAAACACTCTAATCAGAGAAGAAACACCATTTGTTGTATGCCTGCATTTATTTATTGTATTTGTGTATATTCATATATTATAAAACCTTATTATGAAAAATTTTCAGATGGCTCGACCAACAAAAAGGTGCTCAAGGGCGTAATTAGAAGGTGGTCATCTGCAAACCTCAGATACGAGCCGTCAACGGCGGACTCAAAGCTGTTCAATGCGAGCCTGTGAAGAATGTCTTGAAGAAACGCCCTGATGTAAGCCAGTCCTTTTTTGTTTTTGGAGATCTAACAACGACGAGCTGAGAAAACTGACGAAAGAAATCACAGGGGAGAAGGCGAGACAAACGCTTCCGGGGTGGCCGAGGAGGGACATTGCTATCCACAGTAAGCTGGAAAGGAGATCAAGCGCCACAAAAAGAGCAAAAGCGAAGACTTCTTCAGGCTGTGAAGTGGTTAGGCATCGAATCCTTCTAAATGATGCTGAGGGAAGAAGTAGGGAAGAAACTTTCGTAAGTAGTTTGTTTTATCTATCACTTTTATCATATTATTACTATAAAATAAATACAAATAAATATTCTTTTATGAGTCTATACTGAAATTCACATCTTCTAGTGTTTTTAATATAGATCCAGAATAAAAACCTAAAGACTCAGTTTTTGCTTCTGCAGGTCCTGGAATGGGCACTCTTCCCTATATTTGTATAAAAGTGACACAAGGGAAAAACTCAAAACTCATCGCAAAAAAATGCAGAAATATAGATCGTTAGGAAAGAGTAAAACAGGGGCTACCACTGTAGTACATCGTTTGGCACGTTCTTGTTAAGGTGAATATGAAAAAATCGGAAAAATCGAAATTTTGACGAATTCCTTAACATTTTTGTTCGTAAAACTTTCGCCGTAATCCTTTTTTTGTGGTAGGGATTTTCTAGCTATGGATTTTCTTGTCTGGTTAAAATCTAGAGGTGTCCGGGGTCAGATTTTGAAAGTCAAAAGTGTTTTCCCATGGGCGGTCCGATGCCTCCCCATCCCCTCCCCTATCCCTCCCCCAACTCTCCATTTCCTTGCATATGTTGAGCGCTCAACGTTTTTTCTCTACATGTGCTAAAAGTTGATCAGTTCAATTGATTTAATTCAACACTTTAAAACTTTTTACGATTCTTTACACATTTTTATGCAACTTTTTGTGCAACTATTGTTTCTGTGTTAGAAATTGAGCCAAAGAAAGCGACTAAGCAAAAATTTAGCAAAATGATAAAACAAATGGATAAAACAAAAAAAAAATCAAGCAAGTCTATAAACTTGTCATACGTAAACCCAATTCCTGAACGGCTTTCAATTCATCACTTTATCGATCTGTGCCCAACTCTTCCCATTTCGTACTTTTCCCATCGAATTTCCAGTACCATTCATTCCATTCTTTATACTTTTTCTTTTCAATTTTACAAACTTTTGCACACCACAAAAGCCCGCCAGTTTTTGACGTTTCCCCAATATATCGAGTGGTCGAGCTTTCGCCTCCGCCCATTTTACAAAAGAGAGCTGGATTTGAAGTGTCCCTTCACAAAGGGGGAGTTGGATCGGATGCAATGGTTTTAGCATTTCATCCACGTACAGGCTTTCTCATTGTTCTTTATTCTGTTTGCATTGCTGAACAATTTTAGCACGTGATTTTTTGGTAACCTAGTTATCGGTCTAAGCCTTACTGTTACCAAGGTCACATGTGGGGTGGAAAGTTACCGCTTTTCCAAAATGCTCTAAATTGCTTAAAATGCTGAGTCAAAAATGAATCAAATGGTAATCTAAACTAGAAATAAACTACAATAAATATTTGAGAATCCAAAAAATAAGTTTATACTAGCCGAGTCAATGTTTTTAGTTCTTTCAATGTAGCGTTTGTTTGTGAAAATTGTTGCTGTTCTGTTTGCCTGGCTGCTTTCAGTTGGGTGTCACCGATCTACTACTCTCTTCTTTCATCCGCGCTAAACGATGCATGGCTATCATTTGATTCGAGCGATTTGCGAGCATTGGGTAACGATGCATCGCAAAGTTTGCAATCTCAAAAGATCAATGTTTAAGAAGAACGGTGTTTTGTATTGTTTACAAGATATGCAAATGTTCTTTTTGAAAAATAACTCAAAAAAGTCAAAAACTCAAACAGCAGCCTCTAAAATTTTCACATTCAGCTTGTCAAAAACAAAATCTTATCAATTAACTTTCTTGTTTTCAATAAAAACTTTTATTCAAGACAATCAACACTGAGACAAATGTTTAATCATAAAAAGATATCAAATTCTTTCGCCATTTCAATCAGAGCAATCGAGTAGACAAAGGTCGATTCAGCAGTGGAATTTCGATAGAATTTCTAGAAGATTTTCTTATGTTTCTCGTCAAAAAGCGATTGTAAATAGGTGATGTCCAGATTGTTTCGAAAAAAGTTTAAGAATTTCTGAGTCACTTTCGAATTCTCTTCCATTGATTTCCAATCTGGGTAGATGTTTTCAAAAGAGTCGGTCATTTCTTTCAAATAATTGTTTCCTGTAATCGTTTTTGTTCGAAAGTTATGACCAGATCGAATGATTGCTTGTTTAACTGAATGATTTATGAAAAACTTCAATATTTCTTTCCAAACCCCCACTTTCCAAAGTAAAACATCATCAGAAAGTTCTGATTGATATCCAATTCAGCTGTTTCTAGACATTTAATCATCTTAGTTTCTTACTTGATCGAGAAATTTAACCAGCTTTGTTTGAGGGAAAAGGACAAAGTCTCAGTTCACGGTAACAAGCATTAAATGAACAGGAAAGATCTGATTGATATCCAATTCAGCTGTTTCTAGACATTTAAACATCTTAGTTCCTTGCTTGCTCAGTAATATTAACCAGCTATGGTTAAGGGAAAAGGACAAAGTTTCTGTTCACGGTAATAAGCATTAAATGAACAAGAAAGATTTGATTGATATCCAATTCAGCTGTTTCTAGACATTTAATCATCTTAGTTTCTTACTTGATCGAGAAATTTAACCAGCTATGGTTGAGGGAAAAGGACCAAATCTCAGTTCACGGTAATAACTAAATTGAATCCTAAAGTAATTTGCATAGTTTTCATTAATAGCTTTGAGGTAATGATCTTGATGAGATATCTAAGTTCAGCTGGTGAGGGAAATAAACAAATTTTCAAAAACATCATGTTTACATTGATCTGGGTTAATTCGTTATTTTTTTGTTCCCTTTTGATCGAGAATATTTTTGACCCAGCTATGGTTGAGGCAAAAGGACCAAATCTCAGTTCACGGTAATAACCGGGATTTAACGGATATTTTAGAAATGAACGTTGAGAAGGACTTTTGAAGAACAAAAGAAAGAAACGAAGCAACATCTGAAGAAAGAACAAAAGAACGCTACGAAAGAAGGAGCAATAACTTAAGAAGAAGAGAACGAGAGAAAAAAGAAGCGAAGGAAGAAGGAACCGAGGGCAATTTGAGGTTAGTATTAACCTAGTATTCCCACGAAGGTTCCTCATCGGAAACTTCGCCTTCAATTGTGTCGTTTTCGTAAGAGAATCCAGTAGGGCAACTTCAGCGAA